AAGCAAGAAGATCGGCATGTATTGGATATCCACCTGATCAGTAATCCTATGCACTTGCGGATGCTGAACTATGCACGTGGAAGGCGGGCCGAACTAGAAGTGTCTGAATGCCATTGCCCCAAGACGATTTTTCTCAAGTAGTACACAAACTTACTTTGAAATGAGATTGTCCGCACTCGCTGTGACGACATTTAAAGGATATCTCCGGTCATCCAGGAGGGTTGACGGAGGCGGCCTGGACATATTCGTTAGCCATTTCATGAGTTCAGATTTGTCGCCTCAACCTGGTGCTGCTGCCCACCACGAGTCGTCGTAAATGAGGCCAAGTCAACATCTGGTTTTGAAGTGGTTCTTGAAACTTCGGTATATGGTTGGCGTCGATAAAGGAGCGAATGGGTCCGTCTCTTTAGATTTACTGATACATCTCATCACTTATAGATAGGAAAAAACCTTAATTTGTTTTTCAGTAGACTTGAACATAGCTAGCATGATTCGCATCGCCGGCTAGTGTACGAACTTTGGGCAGGGTACTTAGCTACACTGAAGTCTACACTTTCAAGGTCCAAACAAGTTAGCCTACCCGCAACAGTTTTTCGGGGGTAGATGTCATACTCTACGTGTCACTAGATGGTACAAAATTCTCGTAACCTCCGTGATGCTCTCACATTAACCACGGATAAGTAAATTTCAAGTGAGACTCGTTTTATTAATTAAGAAGCAAGCCCCCATTGTCCAAAAATGTAAAACAATAACATAGACTTCATCAAGTGAATTCCTGTCATTAGAAAATACTTTAACTGTGCAAAAAAAATAAAAAATAATGCTGTATAAATTATAAAAACATACATAATAGTGGCAACTTACGAAGATCGTTTAATTTTTTTTCAAAAAGTGTGCCTTTACTAGAAGAATGTGTTTTTGTTATAATAAAACACAAGAACTTCAACATTCGGATGACTGTCAGGGCTGTTCTAAGCCAATCTTACTGGTATTTTGTTATATTATTAGGATAAACTCACTATCATTGATACCTTAATAAGGAATGCAAGTTCACGAGATGTTCAAAGTTGCGTACAGTAGTTTATCGGACGTTTTAAGGATTCCTTTCTTCCAGGTTGAAGTACCGGCCTCATATTCTCTGAAGTAACGCTAATAAGTTAGGAAGTCTAATAAGCGAGACCTCTGCAAGTCTACTTTGACACAACGGAAAATAATAAGAATTAACCCAGGGGGCCTTCATTATAAACATAGAGCTGTGGTAAAAAAATGACAATGGGGATAATTACAGCTTGTGTTCCTGCGGACTATGAAATTCCAAAAAACGATGCATTGTGTCGCAATATGAGATGAAACAAAAAAGGACGTTGACAGTTTTTTTCT